CGGAAGAAATTTGCCCTTAAATGTTAAACGTATCACCGTAATATTATAAATACCAGTCACTCATCTGATAAAACATTCAAGTGATATTTTACAAGCCCACAATTTACAGAAAATATAATCATATACAGCCGTTGCAGTTCTATACGCTGCCTTTGATTAGTAGTGTCATAGTATAACTTGTTAATTAATAAGTTACTTTACCAATATATTAATAATAAACGTTTCCAGCCCAAGAGGGCCAACAAGAGTTACAATGTGTAAAACCTTACGTGAAGCCCACCACAAAATGAGAGCCAGTTGCTGCCTTGCTAGGAGAACGTCCATATATATAGATATATAATTAAGTAATTGCCGAAGTTTATGTGTGGAAGATGTAAGGGGAATGTCCGATCAAGCTCCACGCAGCTCGGTGGTGCACCTGTTACATGTAGCCCACTATGGTTGGTATTCACCAGCAGTGTCTGACCGATTTGCTAAACGCAATCATCCATAAACGTAGCTAAGATGATTGCAAGTGGCTGCTTAGGCTAAGCTACGTATCACCGCAGCTACCTATGATAGCTAGCCTGCTTTTCTGCGAGATTTCGCCAAGCCACACCCCCTATGCTGTCAGGAGTGTATAATATAGATATATATATATAGATCTATCTCTCTATATATCTCTATATTATACACTCCTGATGCTATCAAGTCTTATAGTGGAGAGTACTTACCGTGATTGAGCTATGCGATGCCCACCAAAAGACGTTGTGCTCTATCTAGACCCGGCTATAACGGCCCCACCCATAGATGCTAGCTAAGTCATTGCCTTGACTAGCCTATGAATTCCCCCACATCCCTAAGTACCAAGTCTCCTCTTACACTGAGCTACGCATGCTCTGACCAAAACCAGAGGTGCTAATTGCCTGCGTACATAGAACCACGTTTCGTGTCCATCCAGCGATGTTTAGTCCCTGCAGAGATCGAATCACGTGTTTCGTTACCCAATATAGAAGCTATACGTCCCTGCTTTTCTTCTCACGCACGCATAGATACCACATCCCTTCTCGATAGAATTCCGCTTTTCAGCAATGCAGGGATTCTAAGTCCCTGCGTAGATATGACTACGTTTTTGCGCCCTTTTAGAGGAGCCAAGTCCTCGCTTTTTGCACCCACGCAGAGATGTACAGCTTAGTCCTAAGAGTAGAGCCAAGTCCCAGCATAGATAAACCCCCTGTAGGACTATAGCTTGAGCCTATCTGCACATGAGCCGGACATTTCAAGGGCAACTCGTACATCGTACATACTTCAATTAGTTACTCGATACTAATAATCGATCACTACCAGGCTCTCTTCAGTTTCTGTTGGGCTTCACTATATAGGATATTCATAATCAAACATAACAACAATAACAAACACGAATGCGCATGTGATAAACACCTGAAACACGTGTGTGCTGGAGGAAGAGGAGGAGGGGAGGAGGAGAGGGGAGGGGAGTCAAGAACACGTATGAGGTGTCGGGAACACGGTGAAGGGGAAAGGAGGAAACACATGTGTGCGGGAGGCAGAGGAAGGGGAGGGGAGACAAGGGGAACGAACGATTCACCTTCTCTTCCGAACCCCTCTGATTACTAAGTACCTATATAGTATTATCGGCTGGTTGATACAATCCTCCGTGAAGTGCGAATCTAATTTCATCGAATTTGTATCAGCGACGACAGAAATGCGGTCGTTGATGACAATATGGCGAGCGCATCGCAGTCACAGCCATCATGTCGTAATCGCCACCTAGACCTTCACATTCAAATAACCTCTATAAAGATTGCCTTCGTACTGGTGGGGATACGAGGCTATCATGTGTCGCGGATGTCCGCTCACCCACGTCTTAGCGCAAACGTGGCTGCCTAGGAAGAACTCATGGCTTCATATTCTTCGTTAGATAAACCACATGTAATTGAATCGATGATCGACGATACCTTCGTTCTAAACGATATATATATATATATTTATATATATGTATATGATGAAAAATAGGAGTTTCTTATAGAAAATGCAATGATAACTCAATTTTCCATCCGGCGCAACTCAACCAACTTGGGTTCTTTTACCTGCCGAATAATCTAAATTCGTTTCTAGTACCTGCCAAATCAACTACCCTATGTTTTCATACCTGCCAAAGAAATCTATTCATGTTTCTCATACCTGCCGAAGAAACTCGTGTTTCTTGTACATGGCAAGCGAACCGAATGTCGCGCCTTAAACGGGGCGAGGGATCTAATAAGCCCGTTCTCTCCACCGCTATCACTGTGCGTGCGTGCGTGCGTGCGTGCGTGCGTGCGCGAGTGGTGTGTGTCTGTGTGATTGCGCGTGCGTGCGCGAGTGGTGTGTGTCTGTGTGATTGCGCGTGCGTGCGCGAGTGGTGTGTGTCTGTGTGATTGCGCGTGCGAGACCGCGATGAGCTATCAAAGTGTAAAAATACAAAAAACACCACGCGGACGAGGCACCGTGTATACAATAAAAGAGTGTCATGATATGTAGTTATTGCAAGCAATCGGTGCCAACCAACGCGTGGAAAGATCTCTATACTACTCGAAAAAGTGCAAACGTTTACCTGCCGAAATCCCCTTCCGTGCACACGAGGAGTCCTCGCATTCCCATAGGTTTGGGAGGCGGGGGTCAAACGGGGTGCCCTCTTTCGTTTTTGATTTTCCCCACGAACCCGGTGGGCGTGGTTACATGTGCTACCGTATCCGGTGATGACAATTGCTACTAGTTCTGTATCCGGTGACGAAACCGTTACTAGTTCCGTATCCGGTGACGACAATGGCTAATTCCATATCCGGTAATGACAATTGCTGCTACTTCCGTACCCGGTGATGACAATTGCTACTAGTTCCGTACCCGGTGATGACAATTGCTACTAGTTCTGTATCCGGTGATGACAATTGCTACTAGTTCCGTACCCGGTGATGACAATTGCTACTAGTTCCGTATCCGGTGATGACAAGTGCTTCCTATTTCGTATCGTGATGTTAGCGGCAATTTCATATATACGAAAACGGACATAATATCACATCTAGTATACACGCTTAAAGTATTCTCGCGCGACGCTAAAACGCTATCGTATAGGACGAGGTCCATATCGCTCGAAACATAAAGTCTTAATAACTTATAGACATGTCGTTGCATTTTTGTATTACTACAACAAAATCTGCGCGGTCGCAGGTGAGCTAGCAGTTCTTCATTCAACTCAACCACTCTTATCACGCAATCAGAAGATTTTTTCCGATTCACGCTCCACAGGCACTTTGGACAGAGTCAGTAAAAATAAAATGAAAGCACATTCACAAATACTACCGTACCTCTCAATTACAGTTCCACTGTTGTGTCACTGTATATCAACTTTCCTTCATAAAAAATAACGCCGAACGCTCCCGCACTCGCTGCTGCGAGTGTGCTGTGTCGCCATTATAATGATAATAATATATTAATCCGGGCGTGCGTGCGGGAGCGTTCGGCGTTAGTTTTTATGAAGGAAAGTTGATATACAGTGACACAACAGTGGAACTGTAATTGATAGGTACAGTAGTATTTGTGAATGTGCGTTCATATTATTTTCAGTTTTTACTGACTCTGTCCCAAGTGCCTGTACCCACGCTCCATCAAGACAGTGTCAACCCGCAGTTTTATTATTCGAATTTTCGAACGTTCGTTAACGTACGAGAACGCGGATGGCCATGCGATACTCACTTACGCAGGTTTACGGGGACAGGACACGGCAAAATCGGAGGTGCAACCAAGGCCTAACCAACCATACGGAGGTAACTTAGTATACTATATATCTCCCACGCAGTAGCATCGCGAGCAACACCACATCAGTCTCCGTGCAGATTGCGTTTACGTAAACTGATAAGGGACGAAGTTTCTGCTCGTAACTCGATAGAGGTCGCTGCGTGCTGAATACGCGGTCGCGTTGCGGGCAGCAGCATCAGTGTAGTAATATAGCGAGCATCTATCGGTGGCTTGTCATCGTGCCACCAGCAAAGCAGCGGCTCCAGTAACGGATTCATCTCTTTCCTCACGGTTGAGGCTCTCACTCTCTCTCTCTCTCTCTCCCTCTCTCTCTCTCTCTCATCACACGAGCTTTCTCTCAATCTATCTATCTATCTCTCTCGAGCGCTCTCTTTTTCTTTCGTTCTTTCTTTCTCTTTGATTCTGTCTTTCTAATTTACTTGCTTGTCCATTCTCTTTAATTCTGTCTTTCTATTTTACTCACTCATCCATTCTCTTTTCTTTTTGTCATCTCGCTCCTTTTGTCCTGGACGCAATCAGAGCGAGATGCGACCATGAAGTCCGTACATATAAACAGGCCTGCGAGCTTCCACCGTGACCACCCTGCATCTTATCTACGGATTCACTAACGCATATCTGCATACTCTCTCACCATATGTCCTTCCCGCCGACGCACATCCCAGTCGAAGGTGTAGTCGCGAGCTAAGGGCCGTGGGCACAGACTGCGATATCGCACGTAAACTACCCATCGATTGTTCGCGGGAAAAGAAAGAGGAACACATTCGAATGCACGAAGGCCGCCGCTCTTATATACAACCGCGGGCAGTTGCCGGCATGCAACACGCATGGCGCCTATGCGCCATCTCCTCCCCCAGCCCCCACTTTTCACCTGCATTTTTTTATTCCGCCTTTCACGCCATCGCCGACGACGACGACGACGACGGACTCAGAAACCGCTTGTTCGCTTGCGTTGCCATGGTGATTGCAACTGGATTGATGACGTCAGTCGCAATGCGTTTACGCGGATGCGTATGACAGCAGCAGGCCGTCTGTCGTGTCGGTCGATCAACGACTACGTATATCAGTTCGCGGCTGAAGTTTGAATTTTGAGAAAAGACGCGGGTGGGGTGCGGGTGGGTGGCGGGGGGGGGGGGGGGGGGAGTTGGGACGCCCGCCGCACCTGTAGATCCGTTCATACGGATAAAGTGATTAACGCAGCATTTAACTCAATTAGCAATTTTTTTACGTGCTACAGCGTCGCACTGTCTCTCGCACGGACACTCGCGCTCCGATTATGCAAAATAGATATAGATGTGTTTTTACTCAATTACGCTTCCGCGATGTTAATCCTAACTAACAGGATATCACTCTCCTTCTCAAGCTGCCGGTACGATATCTATCACACGAAAGAAAATTTTGTCAAAATTTTGAAGACTAGCTTTCTCAAATTGGCATGGATAAAGGTCGGATTTCACCCGACAGATTCAGATGAACACGCTCCCGGATTCCGTTGGGAGATTGTGATTCTTAAACGCCGGTGTGCTTTCTAACTACGTAAGCCAGTCTCACCACCGCGTGCAATTTCATCAATCACCACCTCGTAATTATATCTACAATTCGTGCCAATTTGCAAAACGACAAGAATATTAACAGACACACGAATGGTGCACCACATACACGTATAAAGAAAGGAATTATGCTCGTTCGGAGAAGCTGGTTCGTACAAGGGTGCAAGGCAAAATGGGGATCACAGAGTTGGGTGTAGCCGTCGCGTCGTCCGATAGGGGGCGCCACTGTCATACGGCCGTCTCTTGGTCGGTGGATGTGACGGCTTGCACCTGCTCCTGACCTATAAAGCAAAGCATAGTCGTAACAATGCCGAATGAACACACTCACACGCACAGGCACATGCACACACCCACATACGCATGCGCGTCTGGTGGGTGAAACCAGATAATCACGCCTCACGATTAGATACTCAACCGGAAATCAACCCGAATCACCAATAACCGAATCATAAACTCACAATCACAAACCGACTCGATCGGTGGTATTTATCATGCACCTTTCACGCATGCGCTCGCCTACCCCGCCTCCCGCCTCCCGCCTCCCTCCCGCCCTTTACCTCCCTCTCCATCCAGCACCCGTCGTGTACGGCACTTACTCTTCAGGTAGGCAGCGAGTTCGCTGTCCTCAGCACGCACAGCTTGCATGTACGGCGTGTTGCCGTCGCGGTCTGTGACGGTAAGGGATGCGCCTGCCGTCGCCAGCAGGTGGCAGATCGTACGCCGCTGGTACCACGCAGCTTTGTGGAGCGCCGTCTGTAACCTGCGGAGGCAGTATGGTGGATACGTTAAGGCAGCACGTTACGGCGGCACGGTACAGCGGCACGTTACGGCGGCCCATTATGGCAGCACGTTACGGCAACATCTTGGACACGTTACGGCAACATCGTGGACACGTTACGGCAGCACGTTAAGACAACATCGTGGACACGTTACGGCAACACGCTACGGCAGCACGTTATGGCGGCTTCGAGCGGTACGGCATGGTGCTATGGCATGTTGAGGTGTGGTTTTACGGCACGGCGGATATTACAGCACGGATTCGGAGCACGGAAGGCGCTACAGCACGGCGATTGCTACAGCATGCAGTCGGAGCATGGAGGGTGTTATAGCATGGCGAGTGCTACAGCATGAAGAGCGTTACAGCATGCTGGGTGTAACAGCAAAGTTGGCGTTACAGCAAGATGGCTGCTACAGAATAGAGATTGCAGCATGGTTGGAGATAAAGCATGATTGATGTTACATAATGCATGTTACAGCACAGTGGACGCCACGGCATGACGATATCGTATAATAAAGGACGATAGAGTATGATGTGTGTTACAACACGCTCCGTGTTGCATTACAGTGGACGTCACTACATGATGGTATGATGTGATAGGGAAGGATATAGTATGGTGGGCTCTGCAACATGTTTACATATTGCAGCATCGTGGGCGTTACAATAATGATGGTTGTGATGAAAATACAGAATTTATATTACAGCACAGTATGTAGTATAATATAACAGATGATACAGCATATCAGATAATATAACATAATGGATGTTATAACAGAGTATAGTATAATGTAACGGATGCTACAGCACAGTTGATGTATTAGTACAGTAGATGTTTCAGCAAAGCGGATGTCATAGCAGGGTACGTGTATGGTTGAGGGTAAATGTTACATCACAGTATATATTATGGCATGACACAAGTAAGTGTATAATAGGGGTAACAGGATGGGTGGTGTTTACTGTGAAAACCACAAGATTATCATTTCAACCGCAACCGCATGCACCACTATGACGTTTGTCATTATTAGAACCGTTATTTTATTTCTGACGCATTTTCTAAGATTTATGATTATAGTACATTATAGTACAAGTTAGATTCAACCTTCCAAACATGCACATGCACACAAAGAACCCATGCAGCTGATCTTGCCTGCAGTACAAGCTAACCATATAACAAGTATCATATATAAAACACACAACACTGTAATTGTACAGAAACCAACATGAAACCTTAGTACCATAACTCGAACGAAATAATAGTTTGTGAAACATTCGTAAACCACATTGGAACAATACGATTTCAGGAATAGTTATTACTTTTATAACCTGTCGTTTGATGTTTGCACTCAACTCTGAAATCAGTACTGTTCCGCTTATCTGCAAATTTCATATACAGTTCATAAATGAATATATACATTTTATAGGATTTCTAGATTGCCACGTGTTACTCGAAAGAATAAAAGAGTAGAGCTTAAACTGCTAACTCGTGTAGATAATTGGGATGATCGCTTGCAATTGACAAAGCCCCATATGAATATAAATTCATCGTGTTGTTCCAATGAAAAATTAATTATCACATCTCAATTCCCTTGTACCGCTCAGCGCTTTTTTGTTTTGCAACTGCAGGCAACCGAAAATTCAGCTTAACTATCATAAAAGACCAAAAGAGATACTGACGGCTATCCGAAAAACCAGAATTGAATAAAAACCACTTATGGTTTGCCGTAAACCAACGGCTGCAGAATATTCGATGTCTGTTCGTTAATTCCATACTGGCGCGCCTACGAACACATCTTCCCGTATATGCATCGTGCGAAGAGCTAATACTACATATTATACAGGTATTATCAGCTCGTGGTCGTACCCGGAGTATATGATTAACAGAATCTCCACTCAATCACCTATCATTTTCCGAATCCGTTAATTATTTACGTCCGATACTATACATACTTGCATACACTCGAATCCATGTGCATAACACGTACGAAAGGTGTGTGCGTGCGTGCCTCTGCGCGTGCGTGCATTCGTGTATGTGCTTGTGTGCGTATGAACCCATGAACTTAAGAGGTTGTCAGGGATGGTTTCTTATTTGATTGGTTGCCGCCTCAGGTCTCATACATACATATTGGTAACCAATGTTAGATATCTTGCTTTGACAGTACTTCCGAGTGTTTACTACCTCGGAGTTATCAAAATCCGTCACCAAATGTTAGGCAGAACATTTCTATATCAGGTGCACGTAATTAATAAAAGGCACGTGGAACTGCTTATTGAAAAGGAGGGGAAATTACATATTACCTTAATTTAGTATTCGCCAGCAAAAGTCGAATTGCTAGAGGCCTTAGATATTGTACGCTATATATATTTTGCGAAATTTACATACATACATCACATACACGCACGCACGCACACACGCACGCACGCACACACACACACACGCGCGCGCGCACACACACACACACACATATATATATCGATTGCCCAATACTACTGAACGGGCCTCCTCTCTATGGACAGTTGCAGGCCAAGCCGAGTATGTCAAACCGCCAATGAAATTGAGGAGCGTACGCCTACGCGTGCGTGAATGTGTGCGTGCATGTGTGTGTACGTGCGTGCGTGCGTTCGCGTGTGTGCGTGTGAACACAGGCATGTTTGTGTTAGCGTGCGTGCGCGCGCGCCGATATTTGAGTCTGATAGTTGTAAAAATTCAACATGGAGAGGCTATTTCGTCTATCCACGACTACTTGTACCATCATTATCATCATCATCATCATCATCGTCATCGTCGTCGTCGTCTTCGTCATTATCATCATCAGCAGCATCAGCAGCACCATCATCATCATCATCATCATATCATCATCATCATCATATCATCATCATCAGCAGCATCAGCAGCACCATCATCATCATCATCATCATCATCATCATCATACCATCGTCATCATCCTCATCGTCATCGTCGTCGTCATCATCATCGTCTTCATGCATTGTCCTAATCGGCCTCCCCTAACATGTCCTGCAATGACCCTATCTCCCAGTCTCTAATGAGTCTCTATTACTCACACACCACGTATAATGAACAGCTTTACAACTGTGGCTTCAACAAGTCTGGCTATACAAACTAGACATACACTCCTCTAAGCACACCACTCTGAGCAGATGCCAACGATTGGCAAGCATCACTATATATTAACAAGCGGGCTTTGCCGAAATTCGACAAGCATTCTGGATTTGAACCGTTTTTTCTTTTTATAACAAATGATAAATAATCAGTAAAACGCATTTCTTTTAAAATGAGTAAAAAACAGCCGGGGAAACCAGATTTGGAGTTTCAAACAATTTTTTTACCGCCAGATCAGCAAGCTGTATTTCTTCAGCCGAACAAATTTACCTGCCTCACTAAAATCAGTAAAAACGTCAAGGTTTCGCCAAATGCTGTTATGCGCCTTAGTGGCACACCACAACAAACGACGGTGCCTTCCGACGCTGGATAAAACGCAGCTTGTTACACCGACTGATTTACAATCGAACGACAGCACCGTAAATGCAATCACCCGCCCACGTATTCACCCCTCCCCCACCCACCCCGTCAGCACGCAGACTTCACACCGTACAAGCAGCGACCGTCCATCTTCGTAACGTGCGGACGAGTTACACAGCAAGCAGTATATCACAGCAACCGTCTATTAAGGAACAACTACCACGACGACAGTGATAAGAGAGTAGTGATCTTCACAGCGAACGACAACAGAGCCCAACCACCTCTATATGACAGACTTCCACAATAAGATCAGCGACACGCGAAATAATAATCATGAGGACTGAACTACTTGTTTGTGACAACGACGGAACACAAAGACGGAAATAAACTTCACGACAACTCGAATTAAATACTAGTGAAATAATAATAGTAGCAGTAATAATAATAATAATAATAATAATGATAATAATAATAATAATAATAATAATAATAATAACAATAACAGTTACAATAATAATAACAGTAACAGCAATAATGACCTTCGTCGGAAAAAACCCACCAAGAACAACCAACAGCACGAGCACGACAGCAAAGAAAGACGACAACAACGACGACGATGACGACGACGACGACCTCTAGCGGCGCACGCGCGTACTAGCAGGCTCGGCATGCGGCGTGAGCTTACTTTTCGCAGTCGATCATGTCGAGCAGCTCGATGGGGCTCGTGCTTAGCAGCCAGCGGACAAGCTCCTTGTGTCCGAAGCGGGCGGCGTGGTGCAGCGCTGTCATGCCGTACTGGTCCGGCTGCAGGACGTCAGCGCCCTGCCGCACCAGCTCCTGCATGCGGCTCAGGTCGCCGCGCTTCGACGCATCGAGAAACACTGGGGGCGGGTGAGACGACGTCAATGTTTGTTTGTGTTTGTGTGTGTGTGGGCGGTCATTGTTTATTTGTGTGTGTGGGGTCATTGTTTATTTTCGTGTGTGGGTGCGCCATTGTTTGTGTTTGTGTGCGGGGGCGTCATTGTTTATCTGTATGTGGGGGGTCGTCATTGGTTGTGTTTGTACGTGGGGGCGTCATTGTTTGTGTTTATGTGTGTGGGGGCGTCATTGTTTGTGTTTGTGTGTGTGTGGGGCGTCATTGTTTGTGTTTGTGTGTGTGGGGGCGTCATTGTTTGTGTTTGTGCGTGGGGCGTCATTGTTTGTGTTTGTGTGTGTGGGTGCGTCATTGTTTGTGTTTGTGTGTGTGGGGGCGTCATTGTTTGTGTTTGTGTGTGTGGGGGCGTCATTGTTTGTGTTTGTGTGTGTGGGGGCGTCACTGCTTGTGTTTGTGTGTGTGGGGGAGTCCTTGTGTTTGTGTGTGTGGGGGCGTCACTGCTTGTGTTTGTGTGTGTGGGGGCGTCATTGTTTGTGTTTGTGTGTGTGGGGGCGTCATTGTTTGTG